CTTTATACACACGAAGTTCGGAATTCCTAGCACGCAATCTCTCTATCATTAAAATCACAATTGAGCTAAATCCTAATTGCTTACAGATGAAGATATGCATGGTTTTGAGGTATTTATTAGTTTTTTAGATCTTACTGTATATTGTGTATATTTATTAATTTTTTACAAAATTTAAATAATTAATTGCTTCCCATTTTCTTTGAAAGAAGAGAGAGATCTCCAGCCATTGGTAATCTCCCTGACCTGTGTGCAGCAGGGATGAAAATACTTGAGCCATCATCTGCTACCTCTCAGGGTGCACATTAGCAGAAGACTGGAATCAGAAGTGAAGCTGGGCCTGGAACTCGTGCAGGTGTCCCAGAAGTGTTCTAATCAATGCACCAAACATCTACCCCACCCTTTAGTCAATTTTTTGAGTCATGAAAATGTTAGTCATTTAAACAATTTGTAACAGGAAAAAGCTCAATTAATTCCAAAATCTTGTGCTACACTTCTTTATACTTTTTCCATCCATTAGAAATAAGTCCAAATATTAGAACAATGCTAGCCTAAGTAGATTTTACTGTTCAGAACGCCAAGAGTAAAAATTACATCAATTTCCCAATTTTCTCCATGCTTTCCTAATAAATTGACTCTTTTATGCAACATGAATAAATATGATGCACAGATCTTCAATATCTTGTAGAAATTGAATATAGTAAAAGAAGATATAACTGATAGAAATGGTAAATTCAAATCGGCCCATTTCTTTCCCTGATACTTGACATTTGCTTACACAAATTATGGCTATTATTAAATACTGCATTGAGATTCATATATACAACACAGCAGCAATAGAAATTATTTGGAAACACAAAAATGTTTTTAAAAGAATGATCAGTAATTCGAAACATTTGTTGTTGAAACCAACCCTCAATAATTTAGGAAATACATGATAAGAAGTCTAAATATCTAAAGAAAAAATACATAGCATTTCAAGTTTTCATTATTATGATTTTGTAATGTTCTGTGATGTAGGATTTTCTTGTATTCTCCAATTTTGGTAATTTATTTTCCCTCTGAATGAACCTATAATATCAGCTATATATCCATTTTATTTTTCATATAGTATAACTACAGCAAATTTTGCCATAACTCATAAAAGTAATTTTTAAAAAAAATGAAAATTAGAAGACTTCTGAGCCATATTTATAGCTTATCACTACTTCTCTGCTGCACAGACTGTCATTCAGATAAGCTAAAAACAAAGCAATCTTTTATAGAAACAAAATAACTCACTATGTAGAAACTTAAATTGCTTTTCTTGTGGTCATTAAGGAGGTTTCCCTCTTCTTCTATTTTTTATTCCGTTAGATGATTCCATTCTATTTCAGTGCTATCTTCTGTTATACATGCTTAACAATTCATTCAAAATCTCCTTGTCAAATTATTCTGTAACTCAACTAATAAAAATGTTTCAAAAAAAATTAATTGATATTTAAAGAACACCTCTAGACATATTGATCCAGTCTCATCACACTCTGCATTGTGAAGATAGGCAGCTTTCCGCTACAGCTCTTCGTGTCTTACCTTCATCAATGGGGCTTTGGAGAATGATCAATGGGAGGATAGGGTTCACAGTTTTCTGATCTGTTTGGAAAGGGTCAAAGAAATTGCACTTTACCAATATTCTTATTTTCTCTTGTTTATTAGACCACAGCACACTAAATAGTTTTGTTGCTTAGTTACAATTGAATTTATTTTCAGTAAATCGTCAGTAAGTGGAAAAGGAAGTTTTACTCTTTCTTTCTCTCTCTCTTGTATCTTTCTTGTTGAAACAAAGGCACTGTCAATGTTTTCTCTGGAAATCAGCTCTGATTTTTTTATTCTTTCTATCCACTTTTGTTTTTGCCTTTTCTCTAGTTAACTTCCTTTCCTCATTCTAAACTTAGCTTTTCTAAACTTGAATATCCTCTGCCAAAATAATTTCTGGAAATCTGCCAATGTTTTCTGCACTGATATGTGTCAGCTTTTAGGATTTTTCAGGCTGTTGGTTTATTTTTCTTTGAATGCATCTTTGTTCTTCCTCCAATAGTTTCTGTATTATAAATTTCAGCTTGATTTTTTTTTTTTTTTACTGTGGAGGGAGCCATATTCCCTACTTAGCAGAAATAAATTAGAGACTTTCTTCATTTCTCAGAAGCCAGAAAGATCAAGGTACAGACTGAGGAGTCTGATCATCAGTTAAACTCGAGGGCAAACAAATGGAGCAGAAAGAAGCTTGCTGCTTCCATTACATTTTATTCTCGCACACTTGGTGAACTCAGTAGATAATTTTGAATTTTAACCAACTAGGCTTTTATTATTTGCAGAGCTCCAATTTAAAGCCTTGATTAAAGATTCTTTAATTCACTCACAACCTATGAAATGGAATTTTGCAGCAATAGCTGCTGCAGCAGCGGCAGCAGCAAGAGGTCAGATATTCCTAGATTTTTTTTTGACGATATGCCCCAAGAACTTGATATTTGATTCCCATTAGATTTCCAGACTGACTCAAATTTGTTCAGTATTTTATACATTTCCCACACCTGGTTATGGTAGGTCATACTAACATAAAATCTTAACATGGATGATATTCAAGTTGTTTGCCATTTTTTTATGGCATCAAACTAGTTGCTGTATCTTTATGTTTTTTTCTAGTGCTGAAGAACATGTTTCCATCAGACTCTCTTTTGAAGAACATTTTCCCTTGTTCAATATTTAGAGGCAACATGTCATAATAAAAATGTATTCTATTAGGAGATCTGGGTTCTGAACCTGCTGTATCTTGGCTCATTTTTTGGTGATACTTCAGTATTAATTATATTGGTTCAGTTATGAGTAAAAGAAGTGCATTTTATCTTATGTAGATACAAAATAACTTCTTGGAGAAAATAAGATAATAAGGATAACTTACTTCAAAGGAAAACTGAAGAAAAAATTCAGGGAAGCTTTTGGAATCCTGTTAACAACAGCAAAACATCAGGTGCTTCTGGTGAATCCAAAATTTCCATTCTTTCGGTCTCTCTCTTTCTCTCTTTTCTCTTACACAGTCCTAAATTCCAGAGAGGACATATCATCTTGGTCTACATTGAAAAACATAAAAGAATGATATTGATAGATCTCCTAATAGAATGAAACTAATGGGAAAATATACTTCCTTCCAAGCAAAATTGAGGTGGTGTTATTGGAAGAATAAAGAATATGGAGACAAAATAACAAAATGCAAAAGCATGTAACAAACTGTTTACTCACTGTGAGTCCAAAGACATCATCCTCTTTTGTCATAATGAATTTCATAGGAAATACTAGAGAAGAACCATAATAGTCCAACCTGATCACTATGTTTAAACTGGAGCCTCTTTCCAATCTTGCTGTCAGTGCTTTGAGCCTGTTCTTCATTCTGTCTTTAGTAGACTACTACTTAGCTTGCTAACTGACAACATGCATCTAGGTTTAATTATCCTTCTCCTGCCTGCTCCTCCATAACTGTTAAAGTTATCTTTCTAAAACATAATTTTGTCTCTCAGAAACTCACAGCATGTTCTATGGTTTAATGCCTGTTCTTATGACTATGCTGGGCAGAATACAATGTCCATTCTACTGGGCTATCACAGCACATTGCACATAGCTTCCTTAGTGTTCTTGATTCACTGAATAATTATTGTGGGAGGGAGAAAGCACCTATTTAAAACAAACATGGAGCTGGTGTTGTGTCACAGCTGGTTAAACCACCAGCTGTGACGCTGGCATCCCACCTAAGCACCAGTTTAATTCCCAGCTATTCCTCTTCCATTCAGCTCCCTGCTACCACACTTGGAGAGGTAGCAGAATATGGCCCAAGTGCTTGGGCACCTGCCATCATGTGGGAGACCTGGATACAGTTTCAGACTCTTGGCTTTGGCCTGGCCCAGTCCTGGCCAGCCATTACAGACTTTTGAGGAGTGAAACAGCAGATGGAAGGTCTTTCTCTTCCTTTCCCCGCTTTGACCCCATAACTCTCTATAACTCTGCCTTTCAAATAAATAAATACATCTTTCTTTTTTTAAAATAAAACTATAAGGGGCCAGCACTGTGGCATAGTGGGTAAAATGGCTGCCTGCAATGACAATCCCACAAGGCTGCCAGTTCGAGTCCCAGTTGCTCCACTTCCAAACCAGCACTCTGTTATGTACTGGGGAAGCAGTAGAAATTGACTCAAGGACTTGGGCCCCTGCGCCCACGTGGGAAACCCAGAAGCTCCTGGCTCCCAGCTTCAGATCACCCAGGCTTTGGCCATTGTGGCTATTTGGGGAGTGAACCAGCAGATGGAAGACCTCTCTCTCTCTCTCTCTCTCTCTCTCTGCTTCTAACTCTCTGTAACTCTGCCTTTCAAATACTAAATAAATAAATCTAAAATAAAAAAGCAGAGAGTTTTCAAATAAACACAGATAATTCTGGTAAGATTCTGTTTTCAAAAAGTGATTTATATCTGTTTGAAAGAAAATCCATATAGCTCCCTCTCATTTACAGAGCTTGATAGAGTCAGAATGGGAAAGAAAAAAAAAAAAAGGATAGATGTTTAAAAGGAAAAGGAAAGCTAAGAACCTCCTCAGGTTCATCTGTTATGCTGAGAGGTTCACTCCCAGAGAGAATAGTGATAACTGGCCACCTTAATGATTTGTGTCCATGCAAACATACTCGAAGCTAGTTTCCCTTGCACAGGAGAGAGCACAGAGAATTTTGACATTTGAACTTTCTAGTTGCAGTATTGGGGTGAGGGTTTTAGTGATTCTATCAAGTAGGATGAAGAACAAATTTGAGAATGATTTTGAGGGAGGGGGTATTTGCAATACTAACTTTCTGTTGGGGAATCTCAATAGAAAAACCAGCCAGAGAGATTTCCCCAGATTAGGAGCTGCTGAAGAGTTTAGAGGAATAGTTGTGTCTGCTGTCTAGGTAATTTGCTATTTTCTGCATTTATGTTGGACATTGTGCTTATCTTTACAACATCCCTTCCACTATCCTCTGATTATGAGCTTCTATTGGTATAGGTAAGATTAATCTTTCCTCCTATCCTGACAGTTATAGCGAACTGATCTCAACAATCGTTGAAATCGTAGAAAATGGTTAATTTGAAAGTAATCCAGGTTTATTCTGGCCAACAATTTTCCTAACATTTTCAAAGGTACTTGCTGCTCCATCTGCATAGATATCTTCAATCCTTGCTTCCTTAATCCTTTAGTTTCTCTGTAAGTGTTCCCTCTCTGAGAGATTTCTGACCCTCCTATATAAAAAATGAAGTACAGCCTTTGCCCTCTCTGATCACTGTACATATCATCACACTTCCAAAGATTTTGGAAAATGTATATTGTGGAAAAATGGCATGGATTTTAGTTTTTTTTGTGCCAAAAGAAGCTTTTATCTTTTAATTCTGTATTCAACAGTCTTTCTGAAATACCCTCATATTTATTATTTATTTATGTGTTGAATCCATCTCCATGACAGCAGGAATTTCTATTTTTTCATTGTTAATTCCTCAGTGCCTGGATGGATCATCTAGAATAGTTTGAAATTTTTTTCTTGGCTGATGCCGCAGCTTACTAGGCTAATCCTCCGCCTGCGGCACCGGCACCCCGGGTTCTAGTCCCATTTGGGGCGCCGGATTCTGTCCTGGTTGCTCCTCTTCCAGTCCAGCTCTCTGCTGTGGCCTTGGAGTGCAGTGGAGGATGGCCCAGGTCCTCAATCCCTGCACCTGCATGGGAAACCAGGAGGAAGCACCTGGCTCTTGGCTTCGGATTGCTGCGCTGGCCGTAGTGGCCACTTGTGGGGTGAACCAACGGAAGGAAGACCTTTCTCTCTGTCTCTCTCTCTCTCTCACTGTCTAACTCTGTCAAAAAAAAAAAAGAAAGAAAAAATTTCCTATTGTTTATAAATAAAAAATCCTAAGGTCTACAGATAAGGCTTAATGTGCATATACTATACTAATTTTTAGAGGGTACTCAGTTAAATATTAAGTCCCAGTATTTGTGGGTGCTTTGGGAAATTCAAGATATATTGTTCCCCCTTTAGGGTAACTTGACTAAAAAAATTGAAACATGAATTCAAAAATAAATCAAAAGCAAGACATTGGAGCAGAAAGTCAATAGGAGAAATAGCAACCTCCAGAGAAGTCATTAAGTGGAAACAAATACTATGATTTCCAACATATACAAGGTAAAGAGCTTCAGCCAGTTCACTTAAATATTGAGAGCTATATAGTAATTCAAGGGTGATGCAGTTGATATTTGGGTTACATTATTTGCATTTAGGAGTTTTCCTTTGAAATCTGAGATTTTGGAAAACCGAGCCCTTCCATTTATGATTGTAGTAGTACACAAAGAAGCTACTTAATAGATTTTTGTTGTTGAAATGCAATAGTGGTAGAAAAGAGATCTGGATTTGGGAATGCCACTAACTAGAAGTTAAACATGTTTCTTAACCTGCTTTGCTAAGTATTGGTACCTTTTTCTGTAGAATGAAAGTGAAAGTGTTGGACTTCATAATTAAGTTCTTTCCAACTATAAAATATTCTATAATTTTAACTGCTCATTTATGAATGGAGGCTTGTGCTCACTTTCATCTAATGGAAATAAAGATATACTTCTTAAAAATTTCCTTTGCAAATGTATTTTGGTTAATATAGCTGCCATCAATTTGGCTTATAAAATAGTGTTTTCAATGATCTTTTAGCATGATAGATTAACTTTTATGTTCCAAAAGCCATTTCCTCTGAATGCTGCTGAATTCACACTTCACTAATGGCAAGGATCCGATTAGAACTCATTTCATAGTGATTCCTTGACATTTTCAAACATAGAATTGTGCATGCTTTTCTGAATAAAAGTCAGGGAGTATCATAAATTGTAAAAGTTACTATTAAAGTTCAGTCTAATATTGGGTAGTAGTTATGAAATTAAAAGTGAATGGCTGAAAGGCTAAATTCTTGCAAATTAGTTTTCCTTATGTTTCTCTGTTCCTTCTATTTCTCTCACTGTCATCTCCCCTAATTCTCTACACCTGGGTTCAGTGGCCTTCATTCAGCCACTTTGTCAGTTCTTCAGCTTTATTATTTGATATAACTTAAATGAAAAAAGTTGACAGTATTCAACAGAATAGATCAACAACCTACTGAATGGGAAAGAAGGCAGAAACTCTATCCTGTGGACAGGATCAGCATAGAAAGCATAGAAGGAACCGAGATTCCCAAATTATGTAAGTACTAGCAGTTTGTCCCTAAATATTAAGTTAATGGATATAGTGGAAAGAAGCTTGAGGAAGCAACACAATATTTAAAGTTTTTTTTTTTTTTTTTTAATGTAGCATTATGGACACTGGGAGAGAGGGAAAGAGAGAGAGAGAGAATCTTCCATCTGCTGGTTCACTCTCCAAAAGGCCTCAATAGGTGGGACTAGGCCAAGCTGAAGCCAGGAGCTAAGAACTCTATCTGGTCTCCCGTGTGCGTATCAGGTGCCCAAGGACTTGAGCCATCTTCCTCTGCTTTTCCAGGCCTATTAGCAGGAAGCAAGACCGAAAGTGGAGAAACTGAGTCTTGAACCGGCACCCATATGGGATAGGTGCTGCATAGGCAGCAGCTTTCCCCACTGCACTATAGTGCTGATGCTGAGATTTAAAATTTTTACTGGGCCACTTGACTATATTACCATAAACTATGACTCAATTTCAATTCTGCTTAAATGGTGGAGTTCATGATTTTGAAAGAACTCTATCCTTGTCTGGACTTCATGCACAAACTAATGATCATTCTTTCTAAAACCAGAGTTTATTAGTGTAACAAACTGGAGTAAGGGCAAGAGAAAGAAAGGGGCTAAAAATGCCTTTTTTAGGCTAAGGAATCAGTTAGGAAGAGCCAAGAAGGAATGGTAAGTGTAAAAGGAGAACCACATAAGCATGCAGTTGAGGAAGTTAGGGAAGAATGTGATTTAATAAAGCATATGGTTAATTTTAGAGTAAAATTCCATTCTGTTCATGGGTTATATTCTTAATAAATGATATATGTTGAAAATGGCATAAAGTCAAAACTGTCTCGCAACATCCATCAGAAAAGTACCTCATTGGATTCTGACAAAATGTTTCTTTTTAAAATTTTAACACAAATTTTCCTTTTTCTTCCTCAAATTGAAATCCCTCTCTCCCTTCCTCCTTCCCTCCTCACTTCCTTCCTCTTTCCCTCCTCACTTCCTCCCTCCTTCCCTCCCTTCCTTTCCTTCTTCCTTCCCTCCTTCCTTCCTTCCTTCCTTCCTTCCTTCCTTCCTTCCTTCCTCCCTTCCTCCCTTCCTCCCTTCCTCCCTTCCTCCCTTCCTCCCTTCCTCCCTTTCTCCCTTCCTCCCTTCCTCCCTTCATTCCTTTCTTCTTCCTTTCCTTCTTATCTTTTTCTTGAGTACCATAGGACACAATTACATTTCATGTAGGGGCCATACTGAATGTAAAAGATAGCATTTTCTACACTGAGATCATTCAGTGAGCAGTTACCTTGTAAGAGACCTATTGAACTGACAGGGGCTCGGGTCCCTATGTCTTGCAGGTTTTGGAATAGAGATTTGATGAACTGAATACCGCAAAAATCATCTGCCTCTATTTTTATTTTTCCCCTTTATCTTTAACCAAAGGTACAGAATTTTAATGTTATTGGTGGTGACTGTTACATTGTTTTGAAGAGAAGTCAGGAGAAACAAGGACTGGGAAAGACCAATGAAATGCCTGCTTTTGGGATTACAAGTGACCTTTGACTGAAATTTATACACTCTATTACATGAAAAATATGAGCCAAATTTCAGAGCCAGTTAAGAGGAAAATTTTGGATCTGTTAGAGAAGGAGAATTTATTGATGGAGATTGTCAAGAGCAGTGTTGCTCAAACTTTTGTGTGCATAAGAAATAACTGTGGTATTTCTGTAAAAATGCAAATGCTGGGTCTCATCCCAGAACTTCTGATTTGTTTATATCGACGCAAAGATCAGAAAAGAGAACATTAAATATGCAAGAAGGTGCTTTGCTTGCTGGTGTTTCTCAGATCATGTATTGATGTTCTAGATCCTAACAGGAAAGAGAAAAAGGAAACACGAAGATCACACTTGAGAGTAAACTTCGACAAGGAAAGGGATGAGTTCTCTCTTGAGAGATAAGGGAACATCATAAAGAGTATTAAGAAAGCACTAAATTGGGGTGGGTTTTGAGGCTTAGTAAGTTAAACCACCACTTGGGATGTCTGTATCCCATACTGGCGTGCCTATTCAATTCTTGGAAACTCCTCTTCTTATCCAGCTTTCTGCCAAGGTGTCTGGGAAGGCAGTGGATGATAGTTGTAAACCAGCAGATGGATGATCTCTCTCTCCTCTCTCTCTCCCTCTCTCTTCCCTCTCTCTCACTTTTTCTCCCTCTCTTTGTCACTCTTTCAGATAAATAAAAATATCTGAAGGAAAATAGTATTCTTAACTTGAAGCATGGAAGAAAGTGAAAGATTATCTTTTGGGAGTCAAGGAAAAGGGAGAAAGAAAAATGAGGAAATGCCTGAAAGGCACAGACAGGTATGGAACGTCTCTTTCTTAAAAATTTTCTTTATTTATATAAAGGGAACAAATATATATTATATATTTATAAATATATATTTTATATTTATTTACATAAAGGGAACAAATTTCATGTACTTCATATATGATCTTAAGAGTACAATGATAATTCCCACCCTATCCTCCCTCTCTCCCTTGCATGCACTTTCCATCCTCCTCTCTTTCTTATTTTTCTTTTAATTTTTACAATGATAGATTTTCAATTTATTTTATAATCACAAGTTTAAACCTCCACTAAATAAAGAACTCAACCAGTAGAAAGTTAAAAATCCATTGTTCCTCAAGAATATAGATAAGTGCTATAAACAATCACCAAATCTCAGGATGTAAAGAGGCAACAGATAGAATGGAAGAAAAATTTGTGAATTGTACATCTGATAAAGGATTAATATCCAGGATATATCAAGAGCTCAAGAAACTCAACAACAATGAAACAAACAATCCAGTTAAGAAAGGGGCTAAGGATATAAACAGGCATTTTTTAAAGGATTAAATACAAATGGCCAACAGAAACATGAAAAGATGTTCAGGATCACTAGCCATCAGGAAAATGCCATTGAAAAACCACCATAATGTTTCTCCTCACTCCAGTTTGAATGACTACATCCAAAAAACCAAAAATTAACAAAATACCAGAAAGATGTACCCCAATACATTGTTGGTGGGAATGTAAACTATTACAGTCATTATGGAAGTCAGCAGGGAGAGTCCTCAAAACTCTAAAAATAGATGTAAAGTATGACCCAGCAATGCCACTCCTGGGAATTTACTCAAAGGAAATGAAATCAACATATGAAATGTCTCTTACTTAAATGATAAGATTGAGTACTTTGAACTTTGAGGCCCTTTCCAATGATGAACAATTCCAAGATTTGTCTTAAGAAACTTTCCATCAGCACATCATCTCTGAGGAGTAAGAAGCACCACTGTCTATAAAAGTTATACGAAGTATAAGTTATACAAAGTCCTTTGGGGACTACAGCAGGCCCTGTGAAGATAGTATATTTTCATCTTCAGAAAAAATAGTTTCAATTACAATTTTCCCTCTTCTTAATCTCCATCCTAGCTCTAACAATTCTTTTCATATGGAAACAACAAATTAAAGAGAGAATTGCTAAACAGCAGTTATTAGCCAGTTTAAATTGAGGGCACATACATTTTTGGAAAACTAGGTCTGTAAGATTCTATGACTCTGTCCTATTTCAGAAAGCAAATCAATGTGTAACTTAGAGAGAAAAGCTTTACCTCTAAATTGTTCCTTTGTTTTCTCTTCTGCTCTTTTCCCTTTCTGTTTGTTTTTGTTTTGCCTATATGTTTATTTTCATTGGAGTAATTATTCTTATCGATATTCCCCATAAGTGTTAAGAAACTGACTTTGCAGCATATATCATATCTTTCTTGAATAGAGTTGAAGACATCCAGGTAAACTTTTGGAGAAGAGTTAGCATAAGATTGTAATCCATTCTACTTTGGCTTAGACATAATAGGTGATAAAGCTCTCAGATTTAAAGCTAACGTTTACCAAAGGCATGTTGTGAGTTGGACCACTCAAGGATCAAAAGAGAATGCCTGGAATAATACCCTTCTGTGTAGAGGTGTGATGGTTAATTTTACATGTCAGGGGCGTGCTGTGGCTCAGGGGTTAAGCTGCTGCTTCCCACTCATGCATATCATATCAGAGTGCTGGTTTGAGTCCTGGCTATTGTGCTTTGGGTCTACCTTTCTGTTAATGCACCTGCAAAGGTAGTGGATGATGGCCCAAATACTTGGGCCCCTGCCAGCCATGTAGGAGACCAGGATGGAGTTCAGGGCTCCTGTCTTTGGCCTGACCCAGACCTAACTGTTGCAGGCTTTCGGGGAGTGAACCAGTGGATTCAAGACTTCTCTTTTGTTTCTCTGTCTCTTTCTCTCCCTTTGTTTCACTGCTTTTCAAATATCAAAATTTTTAAGCTCACATATCAATTTGAATGTGTCGTAGAACCCAGTTTTTGCTCAAATAATTCTAAGATGTTTCTGTGAAGGCATTTTTTTCAACGTGAATAATGTGTGAATTACTAGACCTTGAATAAAGCAGATTACCCCCCATAATGTGTGTGGGTCTTAGCCATTCAGTTGAAGGCCTGAGGAGAAAGAAAGGTCCTTTAGAGAAAATGGAATTCAGCCTTCAAATTGTTTTGTGACTCAAGACCATTACATCAACTCTTGCTGGAAATTCCAGATTGCCAGCCTACCAGACTGCCCTGAATTTCAGATTCACTATTGTTCATAAGCTCATAGTTAATTGTTTAAGAATCCCCCACTCCTTGGGCTGGCACTGTGGTGTAGCCATTAAAGCAATGTCAGCATCCTATATGGTCATTGGTTCTAGTCTCAGCTGCTCCTCTTCCCATCCAGCTCTCTGATATGGCCTGGGAAAGCAGTGGAGGATGGCCTGTGTGCTTGGGCCCCTGCACCCATGTAGTAGACCTGGAAGAAGCTCCTGACTCCTGACTTCAGATCGGCTCAGGTTTGACTGTTGTGGCCATTTGGGAAGTGAATCTGCAGATGGAAGACCTCTCTCTCTCTCTCTCTCTCTCTTACTCTGCTTTTCAAATATATAAGTAATCTAAAGAAAATATCCTCACCTTTTTTGTTTCTGTCTGCATATGTCTGACTTTCTCTCATTTATATATGAATATGTACTAAATATTTAATCACGGAGAACCCTACTGCACAAGGCAACTGGTTACAAGTGGTTCTTCCTAATGATTCAGTGACTTTATGCCCTTAGCCTATTTAGAATGAAGAATATTGTCAACACTCAGATGAAAGGTAAAATTCTCTACCCAGGAAAATGTGTATACATGCACATACATATAAAATCTTATATACATATTCATACAAGTTGCCCAGGGATTAAGAACTCTTGTTCTGAATTTGAATGTCAAAAAGATTTATTTCTCAGTTAAATGCAATGAGACCTTCTAGCTTGGAAGTCTCATTGACAATCATATCGCCAGTAAGATTCAAAGGTCAAGCTGGCGCCAAGGCTCACTAGGCTAATCCTCTGCCTTGCAGCGCCAGCACACCGGGTTCTAGTCCTGGTCGGTGCGCCGGATTCTGTCCCAGTTGCCCATCTTCCAGGCCAGCTCTCTGCTACGGCCCGGGAGTGCAGTGGAGGATGGCCCAAGTGCTTGGGCCCTGCACCCTATGGGAGACCAGGAGAAGTACCTGGCTCCTGCCTTTGGATCAGTGCGGTGCACCGGCCGCAGCGGCCATTAGAGGGTGAACCAACGGCAAAGGAAGACCTTTCTCTCTGTCTCTCTCTCTCACTGTCCACTCTGCCTGTCAGCAAGAACAACAACAACAAAAGATTCAAAGGTCAAAAATATGGTGGACAAGTAAGAATATTATTTATGCTCTAAGTTTTCCAAAAGGACCTGAGACCAAGAAAACTGCTTCTTGTGATGTGCTTTTGAAGGACACTAAAACTGCAAAATGCACAAAAATTTGCATGTCAGTATGGAGTATGAAGTCAGAAAGTTAATGAGAAAAGGGAGCTCCTGTGAGATGGTAGAATTGGCACAATGACTTTAGCAAACACACCCAGAAATCCAACTACTGAAGTGAAAACAAGGAATAGGTAGAAATGAGAGTATTCCAGGCAAGCACTGATTCTTAAACTATCAGTGAAGGATTGTATAAATTCCTCCCAGCATCAAGAATATTCCTGCCTCTTGTTTCTCATTATTACATAGAAAATTCTTCTTTTCCAGATGGTTCCATGGGTATTTTGTAGTGAATTTTTTGAGAGTTAACTTTCAAAGCACTACTTTCTCATGTAATGATATGGGACCCATAAATATGAGAAAAAAGTAACTGCTGGGGATTAGTTCAAAGACTCAGATTCCAGAAAAATTGAGTAAAACATTAATAAAAATAACTTTAAGCAATCAAATAAAGCCACACAAAATACTACTGGTGTTATATGCTTAATTTAAATGATCAGAGACCATCAGTAACTTGTTTTGCTAGGTTAGCTCATTTTTTTGCATATATCAAAAAATTCCATCCAGTCATTTCAATGCATATATTTAAAACATTTTTATTAAATCTTCATAATGTAATTTCATGCTGCATTGATACCAAAAATATTCAGTCTTCTGCATGTCAAGAATTGTAAACTGTGAAAGCAAGAATATTATTATAGCATATGCATATGTTTTTGCATTCAATAAAATGGTAGGCAAGACTCAGACATAACTACTGGAGTAGGCACAAATCATAGGGCAGCACTGTGTTGAGGATGGTCAAATAATGGTATAACAAGTTCTGTATATAATAGGTGTGATGGTTAATTTTTTGTGTTAACTTGCTTAGGGCACGGGGCCTCCAGATACTTGGTCAAACATTATTCTGTGTGTTTCTTTGAGGGTGGTTTTGAGTGAAATTAAAGAACTTAATTGGTAGACTGACTCAAGCAGATTGCGCTCCATTGTGGGTGGGACTCATGAGATCGGCTGAAAGCCTATCATCTCCTCCTGAATTTCAAACCTGCCTGACTTCAGAATGGCACTTTACCGTCAGCTCTGCTGGAACTCCTGCTGGTTCACCATTCAGATCGTGAGACTTTTCAGCATCTGTAATTGTCTGTATCGATTCCGTATAATAAATTTATTTTTATATGTATACTTGTAGGTAGAATCAGTTTCTCTGGCAATGATATTAAAACAATTTTAAAATTGTTTTAAAATTAAAACAAGTGATATTAAAACAGTTTTAATAATCCAAATTTTTGATTCATTTGTAATCTTTAAAAATGGTTTATATGTCTTTTAAAAAGATTTATTTACTTATTTGAAAGCAGAGTTACAGAGAGAGAGAGAGAGAGAGAGGCAGAGAGGGAAATCTTCTGTCTGTTGATTCACTCTTCAAATGATCACAAGAGCCTGGCCAAAGCCAGGAGCCAAGAGCTTCACCCAGATCTCCCAGAGGGGGATAGGGGCCCAAGAACTTGGGCTAACTTCCACTGCTTTCTCAGGTGCATTAACAATGAGCTGGATCAGAAATGGAGCTGCTTGGACTTGAACCAATGCCCATATGGGAAGCTGACATTTCAGGCAGTTTAACCCACTGTATCACAGCACTGGCCCTCTAAAATTTATTTATTTGAAAGTTAGAGGGGCCAGTGCCATGGCACAGTAGGTTAATCCTCTGCTTGTGGTGCCGGATTCCCATATGGGGGATGGTTCTAGTCCTAGCTACTCCTCTTCAATTCCAGCTCTCTGCTGTTGCATGCAAAAGCAGTAGAAAATGGCCCAAGTCCTTGGGCCCCTGCACCCATGTGGGAGACCTGGAAGAAGCTCCTGGCTCCTGGCTTCAAATCAGCACAGCTCTGGCCATTGTGGCCATTTGGAAAGTGAACCAATGGAAAAAAAAAAATTGAATAATAAAGAAGGGTAAAGATGGAAAGGAAAGGAAAGGAAAGGAAAGGAAAGGAAAGGAAAGGAAAGGAAAGGGAGAGATCTTCCATTGGCTGCTATACTTTCTAAAGGCCCCCAACAATTGGGTCTGAGCCAGGCTGAAGTCAGCAATCTGGAACTCCATCTGGGTCTTCTACATGGCATTGGAACCCAAGTACTTGGGACACAATTCTCTGCCTCCCAGGTAAATTAGTAGGAAGGTAGATCAAAAGCAGAGAAACCAGAACTCAAACTGGCACTCTGATATGGGGTGCAGATTGTCCAAACAGTGGCTTTACCCACTGTGCCATAGTGCTAACCCTTGGATTTTTCTTGATTTTTATGACTGTATTGTAAGCTTTATTTTTCTGCATACTGTTCACATTTGTAATTGTTATTTTTCAAATGTATTAATATTTTCTTCTTTTTATAAAGTTTTATTTATTTATTTTAATTTACTTGAAAAGCATATTGGCACAGAGAGACAGAGACAGATCTTCCATCTACTGGGAGGAGCTGGGAAAGGCTAAAGCCAGGAGCCCAGACATCTATCTGAAGTACTCAAACCTAAGGTACCTAAGTACTTCAGTCAACATCTGTTGCCTCAGCATGTGCACCAGCAGGAAGCAGGGTAGCTCGGACTCAACTTATGTCATTTGTATGTGATATGGACATTCCAAGAGGCATCTTAACTGTTGTGCCACAATGCCTACCCTAAAATTATCCTTACATCTAAAATTATTGGTAAAAAATGAAAAATATGAAGACTACAGTGATAAAATTGACCTGGTCTATAAAGAAATGTCATGTTGTATATATTAATAAGGTTTTTCAATTGATTTTATTTACATTCACAAAAATTTGGAGAGTAAGATATTATTCTAGAAAAACACTAGAAATTTAAACACAGCAAAATATGAAAACAAAGTTAAAGAGAATTTATTTTTATTGGTTTCTTTTTTTTTCTTTTTTTTTAAACTTTTATTTAATGAATATAAATTTCCAAAGTACGACTTATGGATTACAATGGCTTCCCCCCCATACTGTCCCTCCCACCCACAACCCTCCCCTTTCCCACTCCCTCTCCCCTTCCATTCACATCAAGATTCATTTTCGATTATCTTAATATACAGAAGATCAGCTTAGTATACATTAAGTAAGGATTTCAACAGTTTGCTCCCACACAGAAACATAAAGTGAAAAATAATAGATGATTTTTTTTAAATGATGATGAAATCAGAGCAGATCTATTGTCATGTTTAATCCCAGTGAGAGTCAAGTGGGAATTGATAATTTCTTTTTTTTTTTTTTACAGAGGATCAGTTTAGTATGCATTAAGTAAAGATTTCAACAGTTTGCACCCCCATAGAAACACAAAGTGAATTATATTGTTTGAGTACTCGTTATAGCATTAAATCTCAATGCACAGCACATTAAGGACAGAGATCCTACATGAGGAGTAAGTGCACAGTGACTCCTGTTGTTGACTTTACCAATTGACACTCCTGTCTATGGCATCAGTAATCTTCCTATGCTCCAGTCATGAGTTTCCAAGGCTATGGAAGCCCTCTGAGTTCTCCGACTCTTATCTTGTTTAGACAAGCTCATAGTCAAAGTGGAGGTTCTCTCCTCCCTTCAGAGAAAGGTACCTCCTTCTTTGAAGACCTGTTCTTTCCACTGGGATCTCACTCACAGAGATCTTTTGCCAGAGTGTCTTGGCTTTCCATGCCTGAAATACTCTCATGGGCTTTTCAGCCAGATCCGAATGCCTTTAGGGCAGATTCTGAGGCCAGAGTGCTATTTAGGACATCTGCCATTCTATGAGTCTGCTGAGTATCTCACTTCCCATGTTGGATCACTCTCCCCTTTATTTATTCTATCGGTTAGTGTTAGCAGGTACTAGACTTGTTTATGTGCCCCCTTTGACTCTTAGTCCTTTCATTATGATCAATTGTGAACTGAAATTGATCACTTGGAATAGTGAGATGGCATTGGTACATGGGATTGAATTGGAATCCCCTGGTATGTTTCTTTTTTATGAGAGAAAGAGGAGAAAAAGAGAGAGGGACTCAGAATGAAAGATCCCATTTGCAGATTTATTCTGCAAATGATCGCAACAATTGGGACTGGCCCAGGAGAGGAGCTAAGTTGGAACAAGAGCCAGGAGCTGAAAATTCAATCCAGGTCTCCCGTGTGGGTGACTGGAATCCAATTACTTGGACAATCAGCCACTGTTTTTCAGAGTCTATATTAGCTAGAATCTGAAGTCAGGAGCCAGAGCCAGGGATTGAACCCAGGTATTCTGATGGAGGCTATGGACATCTTTGCCTTGAGCTAAACTCCCACTCCTGGGATCAGTTTATGGCAATACAAGTAATTAAAATCCTCAGTGTGTTCAAGCAGTAGAATTTTGAGATGAGTTCTACAATCTCCGCCAAGTTACAACATCATGAAACAAGTGTGCATAAAAATAAGACTTTCAAATCCTTTCAGAACAAATGAAACAGCTTAATGTTATCTAAAATTTATGCAAACACAATTTGAATCTGATTCTGAAACTGCTCTTATTAAATGACATTCTATTATGTTGTAACAATTATATTAAATTAGCAGGCAGCTCAAGTTACAATTAGTACATTGTCTGAAAATAAAGTTAAGAGAAGAATGCAAAAATGTGCATACAAGTCACTGAGAATTAGTTTATAGATTGAAACAGGTGAAATCTTTGCAATTCAGTTGGACCAAAGAAAAATAATTTACAGTTCTCCATTTGCTTGTTTGTATACTACATGTGAATATAAAGGCATTTGTTATTTTGCGAATCATTGGCAGAGACAGAAAGATGACACTTATTTTGAAGTTTTGAGGAAAAATCAGCAAATTTTATCCAAATTTTACAATATATTGCAAATGACAATTTCATTATGAAGATTTTAAATTTAAGGGCCCATTTAGTTATGCTATTTCAAAACAAATACTGCTGTAATTACATGCCATAGTTTTTTTTTTTGTTGTTGTTGTTTTTTTTTTTTTTTTTTGACAGGCAGAGTGGACAGTGAGAGAGAGAGAGACAGAGAGAAAGGTCCGTTGGTTCCACCCTTCCAAATGGGCCGCCGCCGGCCGGGCGGCTGCGGGCCGGCGCACCGCGCTGATCCGATGGCAGGAGCCAGGAGGCAGGTGCTTTTCCTGGTCTCCCATGGGGTGCAGGGCCCAAGCACCTGGGCCATCCTCCACTGCACTCCCTGGCCACAGCAGAGGGCTGGCCTGGAAGAGGGGCAACCGGGACAGAATCCGGCGCCCCGACCGGGACTAGAACCCGGTGTGCCGGCGCCGCTAGGCGGAGGATTAGCCTAGTGAGCCGCGGCGCCGGCCTACATGCCATAGTTTAAGCCAATCTATTTGCAAATATTGTCTCACTTAAGTTAAGAGGCAGACCAGATTCATATTTCTAATTTATATTTCCAGAGAAAAGTTTGAAGAGGTCAAGGTCAAGTAGTAATTAAATGAGGGAGGCAGAACTGTAGTTACAAGTCTTGCAGACTTCAAATCTTATGCTCATATCCACCATTATGTTATAACTTGTAAGAATTCAATTTTGAAATAATGTTTTGTTGTGAATCCTAAAGTATGTCATAAGATTGCTAGGCATGCCAATCAGAACAATTAGATTTTTTTGTGATTTTGCATTTTCCTATAAGTATCAACCAAAGTAAAGTATACAAATTGTAGAGTAGTGAGGCTTAAGCTACTATGACTCATTCATAATGGTATTTTTTTTTTTTTTTTTGACAGGCAGAGTGGACAGTGAGAGAGAGAGAGAGACAGAGAGAAAGGTCTTTCTTTTGCCGTTGGTTCACCCTCCAATGGCCGCCAGCGCGCTGCGGCCGGCACACTGCACTGATCCAATGGCAGGAGCCAGGTACTTCTCCTGGTCTCCCATGGGGTGCAGGGCCCAAGTACTTGGGCCATCCTCCACTACACTCCCTGGCCACAGCAGAGAGCTGGCCTGGAAGATGGGCAACTGGGACAGAATCTGGTGCCCCGACCAGGACTAGAACCTGGTGTACCAGCGCCGCAAGGCGGAGGATTAGCCTAGTGAGCCACGGCGCCGGCTCATAATTGTAATTTTAAAAATTTATAGAATGCTATCACTGTTCTCATTTAATTACTTTCTATCAAATAGTTTAAATGTACAC